GCTCGGGATCCCCACACCCGGAAACGCGACGCATCGCCAACCTCTCCCGTCCACCGCAGAGTCGGGGAAGTCTCCGGCAAGGAGACACGGGGCCAGAGGTTGAGCTGATGCGCAGCGTACCGGACCGCAAACGGCCACAGAAAGTGGGGAGCAGCCGCATGGGTCAGGGAGGTACGAGCGACCTCCATGACTAAGCCAATGCGGCGCTCAGCAACCCCATTCTGCTGTGGAGAGGCCGGAAGCGTGTACGACTGCTCAATGCCGTGCTCAGCACAGTAGGCTGCCAAGAGGTCGGAGGCAAACTCACCACCTCTGTCAGAGTGCAAGCGCAGGACAGGAAAGTCCGAGTGAAAGCGCTCGCCTAGCTGGAGACGGGCTCGGCTGATCCAGGGGATCAAAACACCAGGGACGTCACCCTTGGCGCGCAAGGGGAAGACCGTGGTGTAGCGCGAGTAGTCGTCAACAACTATCAGGAAGTACCTCTCCTGACCCTGACCACGGACGCGGGCTGGGCCCCACACGTCCATGTGGAGCGTCTGCAGGGGAGCGGTCGTCGGGGGAAAGGAGGAGGAGTGAGGAGCGGCGCGCTGCCGCCCCTCGACACAGGGAATGCAGTCAGGAGCAGGGGAGTCAGGAAGGGGAGGGAGCACCCTGGGAAGACCAGCAACAAGGTCCCATTTGTGCATGGCCCGCAGGCGCTGCACAGACGGGTGACCAAGGCGGTGGTGCCAGAGGACGGTGTCGTTCGCCAGAGAGCGACACGAGCAGGGGGCGGACAGCTGACCTGACGCTGACGCAGACGCAGCTACCTGAGGGGACTCAGTGGTCAGTGTGTACAGGTCAGACCCCGGCTCTCGAGTGAAAGTAGCTAGGTGGCGGCCCGTCCGAGCACACGTGCAGTGAGTCACACGCTCGTAGGCAGGGGTGAACTGGTGAACACCCCCGTCCTGGAGCGCACTACCTGCCACCAAGTTCGTGGAGAACGAGGGGAGGTAGAGACCTGAGAGCGTGCCGGACGGAACCGCTGGACACGGAAGGGTGGTGGAGGAGGTCGCAAGGACCGGACCCCCAGAGGGGTCAGCAAGAGAGACAGCAACCGGCCGAGCTAGAGGCTCAAGGACAGTGCGGTCACGAAAGAAAGAGCGAGAAGCACCTGAGTCCAGTGTGAAGGTGTGCAGTGCTGCAGTCGACTCAGTACCAGGGGGCACAGACGCACAAGCACCTAGAGCAGCAGCTGCAGTAGTACCTGTGGAAGCAGACACACTAGCACCTAGAGCAGCAGCGGGGCTGGCCTGAATGCCCGGGTCGGGCGGAACACGCAAGTACTGAGCACCCTCTCCACTAATAGACATCGCATACATGGCAGTGAGAATAGCATCAAAGTCCAGTGCCCAAATATCAACACCCTTCCTGAGCAGCTCAGCCCAGCGCGGCAGCTCACCCCCACCAGGAAACTGGGTGCGCCACGCATCGTTGAGGCGGGCGAAGCAGCGCTCCGTCTGGTGCGGCCCCCCACACGTCTGGCCAGTGCGGTCACCTGTACGAATAACGTACTGGCAGGTGACGCTGCGCCGCGCATACCACTCACGGGCGGCCTGAAGGGTCGGGGCAGGCTGCTGACTCTGACCGCCCCCCGGGCCTCCACGACCACCACCCCCTCCGCCTCCGCCCCGGCCACCTCCACCCCTGCCGCTGCCACGACCACCTCCGCCTCCGCTGCCACCTCCGCCCCTGTCACCACTCCCAACGCCGCTGTCACCTCCACCACTGCCGCCACTAGCCTCTCCAGTCGCACCTCCACCGCCACCACCTCCACCCCCGCCTCCTCCGCCACCACCCCCACTCCTGCCACTCCTGCCCCTGCGTCGTCCGCCTGAAGCAGACGCAGCCCCGACCTTCTCAGCACCAAGGAGGTCGACAGCAGCAGCAGAGGCGACAGAGGGGAGGAGGGGGGAAGGGGAGCACCCCTCGAAGAAGGGGCCGCGGGGGTCGCCACGAGAGGTGCCTACAGCGACGATACTAGCCTCGGCTGCAAGCAGTTCCTTCTCGAGGAGGTCTACGGTGAGCTCAGTGGGGGAGCGAGAGAGGAACTGGTCCCTGACAGGGCGCAGAGAGTCAGGGAGGCGGGTGACAACGTGGTAGAGAGTGATCCAGAGCGGGGGGGGGTTGCTAGCGAGGAACTCGTCAGGCATGGCAGCGCGAAAGCGAGCCTCACTAGTCTTAAGGTGGGTGATGAGGTCTGCGACAGTGTGAAAGGAGGCTAGGTCGGGGAACAGGTAGGGGAGAGTGAGGCGGCCTAGCGTGGCAGAAGCGGGTGAGGAGTAGCGGGCCACTACAGCTGTGTAGAGGTCCTTAGCAGTCTTGCACTGGCCGAAGTGCTCGCGCTCATCTAGCGGCAGGGAGTTGCGAATAGCAAAGCGAGCGTGCGCGTCACGGGTCTGCCACTGTGAGCGCTCAGCTGGGGGGGCAGTAGCGAGTGGGGCGGTCGCATGGCCGAGAGCGTGGTCGTACAGTGTAATATCTTCCTTGGCAGTGAGCTGTAGGAAAAGGTGCAGGTCATCTAGCCAGGTTTCGAATTTGACCGGACGGCCCTCGGCGTCGAAAGCTAGAACAGGAGGACTAGCCATAGCGACAGCGGCAGTAGTAGAAGCAGTAAAGTCACTGAAAAGGCGTGCGCAGGGTCAGCGGGGCCGGTGGGGCCTACGGACTGTAGTGGCGCACAAGCAGCAGTAGCAGGAAGTGTAGTAGTAGGATCTGCAGTGGTGCACAGGCGCAGCAGGCGGCAGCGAGAGCCGGCGCAGCAGGGGCGGGCTCAGCAGCGGTGATACGCGGGCGGCGGCGGGCGCAGCAGCGGCGGTGCGCGGGCGGCGGCGGGCTCAGCAGCGGCGGTGCGCGGGCGGCTGCGGGCTCAGCAGCGGCGGGCCGGGAGCAGGCAGCGCGCGGGCCGTGCGGGCCGTATATGAGCTGTGCGGGCAGCGTGCGGGCCGGCGGCGGTCAGCGCACGAGCCGCGCAGGCTCAGCGCGGGCTGCGCGGGCTGCTCGCGGGCTGCGTAAGCGGGTCGCGGGCGGCTCGCGGGGGTTCGCGGGCAGGTCGCGGGCTGCTCGCGGGCAGTTCGCGGGCTGTGCGCGGGCTGCGCGGGCTGGTCGCGGGCTGCGCAGGCGGTTCGCGGGCTGTGCGTGGGCGGTTCGCGGGCTGTGAGCGCGGCGCGCTGTGCGGTTCGCGGGCGGCGTGACGGGGCCGATCGGGGCGCTAAGGGGCGACGCGACGGGGGCCGTGAGAGGCCGCTAGGAAAAAAAAGTTCGACGGGGCCGCAGGGCCGCTAGATCGTGCTAGATCGACGGGGCCAGCGGGGCCGGAAACAAGCGAAGGTAAGCAGGTAGGTAAGTCGGTGGGCCCTAAGAACAGTCCTAGCGAAGGACCTGCTCTGAAACCATGTCAGAAATAACTGAGCAGGAATGGTGTGACTAACAGGAACAACAGTACAAATATGAAACCCTAACCTGGTATACCCCCTAAGGTATCACCCACTACAGCCTAGAACAATATAAACATATAATGTTTGACACCTGCCGCCGCCAGCGCCGGCCGCGGGTGATGCCGCCCTTCCCACCCGCCCTCCCTTACTCTCCTCCCGTCGTGGAGGGGGGGGGGGGGGATGTGGGGGGGGCGGGTGTAAGGAGCCAGCACGTCTTCCCTCCCTTCCCTCTTACTCTCTCCCTCCCTGCAGCACTTGTTGCTGTAGGAGAGGGGGGGGGGGGGGGTGGAATGAGAGATGGTAAGGGAGGGTAAGAGAGAGTGAAGGAACAAGCAGCCACGCATCTGCAGCTGCCGTCCACTGCTATGTGGCACCTACTTCTGCAGCCCCTGACGCTTCTCTCTCTTCGTTCGTCTTCTTTGCTGTTGAGCTGCAAACTAAGCGCGCCACAGCACATCGTCTTCGTTCGTCTTCTTTGCTGTTGAGCTGCAAACTAAGCGCGCCACAGCACATCGTCTTCGTTCTCTCTTTCTTGCCTCAGGGCTTGCTGCAGCTGTCTCTGCCACCACTGCACTGGTTGTCATTGCTCTTGCGTGCTACTGCTTTGAGTACACTTGCAGGTTGTGATTTGCACTTTGCTATTCCTGCATGCAGTTAAGGGGGGATGTCAGAATTATATTATTGTAACTGCATGTAGATCTAGCAGTAGTGTAGTTATTGCATTCTGTTTGGTGGTTTACCCCTTTTCCTCCTATTTGTACTCCAAACTCTATAGTGAAACACCTCTTTCCTTGCCTAAACTCTCTCGACACTTTCTCCTCTTCACCCTAGCATGGCTCCTCACCTCTAGCTACTATCTTGACACCGTACTGTACATAGACAGAGTCCGCAAGTACACTACTCTGAGCCTAGTTACAAGATTTTAGGGTTCGTTAAGCAACTTATCTGATTGGATCAGAGTTCACAAGTAAAAAAAAAAAACGGTAATTGCAGGGACCACCAGGTGAGAAGCCTGTAATCACCCTGAAATCAGGGTGGGGGGGGGTAGTGTAAGGAATTTTCTCGCCATTCCTTACTGAGACCTGCAACATCGCGTACAGCACCACCCGTTGTTCGCCCGTTACTGCTAACGGGACTTCGCCAACCTCGCGCGCACTGTTTCCACCAAACCACACACTGCTGGCCTACGCTTCGGGACTAGCCCGAACCTCGCTGCCAGCACAGCACTAGCTAGCTCGCACGCCCCACGTTACCGTTTGCATGTTTCGCGTATAAATGTTCGCTCATGCCTTCGCTCACATTTTGTACTCGTTGGACAGTTTAGTGCAATCCTCGCTACCTCGATCCATTGCACCCGTAACACTTGTTTACAATTCGCACATGCAGTTGTATTTCGCGCAAACACATACCGGTAACTCCCAACATGTTTAATGTGTACAACAGCTACGAATTTGTGGCATTCACTCTTGTCTACATGTATTGTGCAGGGTAGGCAAGAAGCAGAAATGTTGAGCATGCCCAAGTCTAAGAACCATTGAATACCAAAGCCCATGAAAGCCTGAAAGCCGGGCTTTGAGCAGGAAGCAAACAACTGGAAGAGCAACCAAAACTGACAGCTTCGTCACCAGAGGCTGTCGAGAGAAAACATGCCAAAGCCCGCGAAAACGCCAACCCCAATTCTGCTGTGCCTCCTCCTTTCCTACCTCTACTGCTGCTGCTTCTGCTGCTGCGGCTACTTGTGCTTCAGCTGCTGCTACTTGCATCCAGTGCACCGTTTCTCGCAGGTGGCTCACCTCCCTCTCCACCTGCCCCTGCAATACACACAGCTGCTTCCAAGCAGCATCCACGCGTTCCTGTCTGCACGCAAGCGCACGATGCAGCAGCTGAAACTTCTCCTGTAAACTTGAAAGCGCTGCTGCTGAGTCCAGGAAGGGAGAGGGCTGAAGCATGTGCGCCAACTGCTGGTTGAGATGAAGGTAGCTGTCAGAGGCCTGATGGGCATGTGAATGGATGTGAGCACGAGGAGATGGGCATGGAGAAAAGGTGGGAACGATTTGGCCATGAGTGGTCACAGAATCACGGGTGATATTGCATTGGAAAAGGATCCAAGAAGTCAACAAGAAAGGAGAAAAACGAGGGCCAGAAGCAGAAAAAAAAAGCCCAAGAATCCATAAGGTTCGAATGGTTACAAAAGAGACACGACAGGACATAGAAGCAAAAAGAAGGCGACAACAGTCAAATGAAAATAAAAGAGTGAGCGGCAGAGGTGCGAGAGGTAGCCGAGTGGGAGGTAGCGAACCTTGACCACGGTGCTGGCGAGATGGCCGAGGTGACCGAGGAAAGAGAGGAGGGATGGAGACGTGGTTTGAATAAACGGCAGAGCCTCCTTCTGCACGCCCCCATCCGCCTCCCACTTCACATCCCCGTTACCCTGCCACTTCACATCTCCATTCGTCTGCTGCAAACCGTCGCCATTCGCCAGCAGGAACGCACCCTCAACCTGCTGCTGCTGCACCTGCTCCTGCTCCTCCTGCTGCTCCTGTTGGTCCTGCACCGGCTGCTCCTGCTCCTCCTGCTGCTGCACGGGGCGTGGCTGCAGAACGACGTGCGTTCTGGTGACCAATTCGTCGATGTGCTGGTGTGCGCCTCTGATTGCCACCACCTCCTTCTCGTCCTTGGGAAATGACGCCGCCAGCTCTGGAAAGAGGGGTGACGAACGGGGGCGGAACGGGGCTTGTTGGTCCGAGAGTGGTGCATGGGGAGGAGATGCAGGGCGGGTATTGTGAAGGACTGTTGACCTCGGGAAAGTGAAACAGTCAGTGGTTGAAAGTTAGAGAGTGAGTGAGGTGGGTTGCTGTGCGGGGTGAGAGAGAGGAATGGTAACGGTGCGGAAGTGGAAGTGCGCATGCGGCAATGAGAGCGGATGGACGGGTAGATGAGTTTACGCGTGCACAAGATGTATGGCGTCACGGAAATCCGTGACGGAGACGAATCTCAGACAAGCGCGCCGCACACGCAGTTCTGTAGACTCAGCAGCTGCGCTCGAGAAAAAGGAGAGCGCGTAGAAAAGAGAGAGCGCAGGTTAAGGTAGAAGAGAGAGAGCGCAGGTTAAGGTAGAAAAGAGAGAGCGCAGGTCTCGTCGCAACGGCGGTTGCATTGATGCTACCTTGCATAACTGCGGGGAAGTTAGCGAGAGGGTAATGACACGCGGCTTCGAAGGGGCGCATGGAGAGACGCACGAGGCGGCGCAGGCGGGGCAAGTCGTCGTGCGCGTATGTCTGGGCATGGCGCAGCACGGCGGACATTGCCGTGGGGTCGTGCTCTGAGCACAACCGCTGTAGAACCGTCAAAACATCCGCGACGCCGATGGGTATTTGCTCTAAGGATCTGACTAGCTCCTGAACGACGTGGTCCTCCGACACAATTTCACCCATCGTGCTACGTAGTATGCGAGACGCGTACGGGAAGTCCTTGGTCAGGGTATGAGCTCTGCTTTCATTGGGTTTGTTCTGTGCGGTTGCGTGGGATTCAAAGTTTACTTCTCCAGCGATTGCGTGACAGGCCACATATGGCGATGGAAAATCCTCTTTTCAGCATCTCCCTGGAAATGGATAGGCAGAACATATGTTTTGAGTCGTCAACTCAAATTCTTGAGTTGAAAATTTGAATAGACAAAAAATGATACCAGCATATTGTAGACAAAGGTTAAATACAAGTTAATAACTAGCTATATATTGCTCGAAGCATGCTCTCAGAGGTAACAGTTATAGGATTTCGTGAGCGTGCTTTTACGAGTGCAAAACGTGAGGGAGTATTTAGCAGCTAAACGCGGATTCTCAATATCGGAGAGATCACGCAAACACACTCTTGCGGCCAGCTTGGCGCGCCGCACACGACAGGACGCGGAGCCCACATCCGCACCGCGACCAGTCGTCGCGTGCGTTGCAGGGGTAGGAATTAATTTTCCGGGTTTCCCGGTTCCCATTCTGTTTTTGCATATAGGCCAACCATGCTACCCCTTACGATTTATTATAAACACAGGTTCACGGTCAGGATACTTGTTTACATTTCCACTGAAAGGTCCCTCGCGTTTCCGTTACCGAAGTCTAGCACAAACGTGACACCCAAAACTAAATTCTAGGCCAAATCCCCCCAACACGATAATCGCGCCTCCTGCTTTCACTCGGTAGCGAGCACCCCCGTCGACTCCACTCCACCACCACCACATGACACATGAGCCACGGATTGGCTCTACACCTGTCCCGCGCCAATTTCGATTCCCGGCAATTTCAACACCTTTTGTCTCGACATGGGTCCTGGGCCCGGCGGGATTCGGCCTCACAACCTCTCGCAAAAGCTCAGAACCGATAAAAAATCCTGTATCACGGTATTGAGCATTACGAAACCGAGTGAAACCGCGCTGACTATCGGAACTTCTCTGTTCCCTCCAATTTCAGCAAGCCCAAAAACGACAAACAGTAACTCCCGCAGCGCGGGTGTTGAAATTGCCGAGGGAGAGGTGTAGCTAGATAGACCTAGGAGGGTTGGCTTCACAATTCCACCAGTCACCCCACGCGCACGACCCATTATCCACCACCCCTCTCCCGCCCACCCGTCCATCGTGACCCCCCAATAGGCCTCCTCAAATTACCGCACCATCTCTCCCAGAGAACCAGTGTGCCAGTCATCCTCCACTGTACTCGAGAGAATGACTCCAGTGGCCAATAAGGTGATTCACCATCCCTCGCGTGGCCACGAATGACTCGAGTGGCCACCAAATTTGGTGATAATGACTCGAGTGGTCACGCCAGGGGATTCCTTCCGGTTTGTTTTTACCCGGCACATTACCCTACAAGGGTTTGTATCCCCGAAACTTCTGTACGGATTATTGCGCGATTTTCATTATCCGAAAATTATGTTCTTGACATTATCTGACCACGCCTGATTGGATGCGCATTGCCATAAAAGGCACTGCGCATATATAGACCAATCATTCGCGGCCATTAAATCCCGCGCAATGACGCCCGGGCATTGCAGTTCATGATCGCGGAAATATATGACCGAGCATTAATATATGATGCCCGCGACCATTACTTTATGTTCGGGCAAAACAAATAAAACTCATGGCTTACGGCACGCCACTGGGGAGCCTCAACCCTAAAAGTTTAGGGTTGAGGCTCCCTAATGGCATGCCTTCCGTATGGGGTTTATTTTTTTTCTTGCCCGCGCTGACCCATTGCAGTTTATGATCGCGGAAATATACACATGATCGGGCATTACAGTATATGATGCTCGCGAGAATAATAAGCCCCGCACGATTGGTCGATTATATGCGCGTCCGGTCAGGCGCGGTCATATAGGGTCACGAACATAAAATTCGTATATAAATGATCGTGCAATAACCAGGACAAACATTCGGGGCTACAAACCCCCGTAGGGTAATGCGCCGAAGAAAAAAAAGCCAGCAAGAATCCCCTGGCGTGGCCACTCGAGTCATTATCACCAAATTTGGTGGCCACTCGAGTCATTCGTGGCCACGCGAGGGATGGTGAATCACCGTTTTGGCCACTGGAGTCATTCTCTCACTGTACTCACACACACCCACCTTTCTTCACTTCCGTCTCGTACTGACGCTAGATGTCCTTCTCATCGCGTGCTCCCAAGCTCCCTCCTTGCGTCGTGCAACAGAGATAGAAGCGCCTAATTGACCCTTCCTCTGCCCGTCCAGGCGCCTTCGCTCTTCGCTTGTTGGTTTTAGCCGCGCAGCGTATCCATTGCCGGCCGTACCCCAGCTCTCAGCGCTCCGTGTGGCCCAAGACGCGAATTAGGCGGCCAGAGCGCGAGGAAAGCGGAGAGGCGTCGAGGCGCAAAGGCGCAGAGGCGGAGAGGCGCAGAGGCGGCAGAAGAGGGGTTTTGTTTGGCGGGCAGGAGGCGGGCGGCATGGCGTCGTTCACGGGGACGCAGAGCAAGTGCAAGGCGTGCGCCAAGACGGTGTACCCCATGGAGCAGCTCACGGCCAACGGCATCATCTTCCACCGCGCCTGCTTCAGGTGCGCCCCGCGCAACGGCGCCCCGCGCCCCACGCCCGCGCCCCGCCCCGCCCCCTGCACCCCGCACTCTGTCACCGTCGCGTCGCGTTATCTATCAAGGGCGCGAACACGCGTGCAGACCATCGCAGTTGCTGCCAATTCACCACCGAACCAGTTATTATTCGTACTTTGTACCCGTTATCACTTCTTGGGGGAATTGCTGGTGCAGAGGCGCCTCAATACCAGCCTTGCATCGTAACCGCACAGTCGCGCGGCGTTCGTGCTCCTCTCGCTCTTTGTAGTTCTCTTCTGCTTCTATCCCTGTTGCGCTCCTCTGCGCGTTCCGTGCGGACAAGCAATTCCTCCTCGCGTGCTCCGCAACTCGAGCGGTTTCATCCCTTGAAGTCAGAAACGCTGCATACAACATCTACTTCTAAGCTCAAATTGAGTCGAAAGACGATCTGCAATGCAAAAGTGAAAAATGAACTCTCATCTCCGCCTCCTTCCCATCTCCGCCCGCCTTTCCGCCTCTCCGCCTCTCCACCTCTCTCCCTATCCCCCTCAGATGCGCGCACTGCAAGGCCACCATTTCGGTGAGTGCGGAGAGACGCTCAAGTGCGGAGAAGATTAGAAATGCAGTGCGCAAGGGACGAGCGGAAATGGGGAATGACAGTGCGCGGAGGACGAGCGGCGAGGGGGATGAGTGTGCGCGGAAGGCAATTTCACGTGATCGGGGCTAAGAATTGACCGGGATAGTGGGAGAATTGAATAGGGAAATGCAAAGAGCGCGTGCTGTCGATAACCGATTAGAGCTCTCACTTTCACTCTGTTTCACTTCCGCGCCTGCACCTACGCCCGATACGCTTCCCCTCTTTCTCCGCCCCATACCCGTTCTTCCTCTGCTCATCCCTCCCGTCGTCCCTTCCTATTCCCACCTTCCCACCCTTTCCATTCCCGCTCTTTGCCCCTCCATCTCATAGCGTCTCCCCTCCTCCTTCCGTCTTTCCTCTATCTCCTCACTTCTCCCTTCGCCGTTCGCCTGCCGCGACCCTCCCCTCCTCCCCTTCCCCCCCGCCAACCCCCGCTCGTCCGGCGCAGCTGAACTCGTTCGCGGCGATCGAGGGTGTGCCGTACTGCAAGCCGCACTTCGAGCAGCTGTTCAAGCAGACGGGGTCGTACACGCGCAGCTTCGAGGGCGCCATCAAGGCCGAGAAGGACGCCACGCCCCCGCCCGAGAGTGAGCACGCGCGCATGCAGTTGGTGGGGGAAGGGGTGAGGAGAGGAGGGGGTGGGGGTAGGGGAGCCAAGAGGGAAAGTTGTGTGGGGGGGGGGGATCGGGCGGAGGGAAGCGGGAGAGTGAGGGAGGATACGGGGGAGGGCAGGGTGGTTGGCAGGGGAATATGGGTTGAAAAAGGGTTGAGTGGGCGAGGGAGAGTGGGGTGAGCGCGGATCAGGAGAAGAGGCGTGCGGATATGGTTGAGGTGTCGGAGAGGAGAGGGGAGTGAGAGGGGAAGGGAGTGAGAAGGGAAGTGCTCTGTGTGGTGGGAGTAACGGCGTGATAGCTTTAGTACCGCAGGGACTAATGCTAGCAGCTCCGTGCAAACCCTTTCGTGCTGTGCTGTGTGCTCTTGCGTTGCGTTGCCTCGTTTCCGTTCCCCACTTTCTTCCACTCGGAACCCTACCTTCGCAACCTCCTCTTGTCCCACTGATCCAATTACATGTCCCTCGTGTGTTCCAACTCTTTCCCCCACGCCCGCTCCCCTACACCTGCCCCCGACAGGCCTCACACCCTCAGCAGTGGTCAAGGCAACCGAGAAGGTGAGCCTCATTTGCCATTGACAATCACAAGGTCAGCCATCCTCCGCCATCACGCACTGCCCTCTGCTTAGCCGCGCTGCCTCTAACCGCGCTCCATCTCGTGCTCCTTCTCCCCGCCCACCCACTCCGCTTCATACGCCCCCTTCCCCTCCGCTTCCCATCCCCGCCCTTCCCTCGTTTCCCCCCGTTTCCCCCCTTCCCCTCCCCTCCCACCACGGCAGCGGTCGACGCCCAGTCCCCTGGCGCTCAAGTTCGGCGGCACGCAGGACAAGTGCAAGGTCTGCAGCAAGACCGTGTACCCGCTTGAAAAGGTGCGCGCTTGGAGGGGGACGGGGAGAAGCGTGGGGAGAAGGGGGGGAAAGCGGGGGGGGAGGGAGTGGGGCCGCGGGGGAAGAGCGGGGGGCGGGGAGAGGAAAAGGGGAAGGAGCAGTGTGTGGGAAGGAGAGCCATGCGGTGAGGGCACGTGTTCACTACGTGCATCCGATCACTGCCACTCTCGCCGCGGCCCATCCATACCTCAGCACAACCCCTGTTCTCCCAATCCCGTTGCACTTGAGTTGGATTCTCCATTGCAAGCCTGACGAGCA